AACCCCAAGCAGGCTGAGGAAGAACTCAGCTCAACAAGCAAGGATGTGCGTCCACACTAACCAGCTCACTGGGGAGGGGGGCAGTCCTGGGCTCTTTTAACAAAACAAGCACAAACAATCAGCAAAACCCCAGGACATGTGGTTAAATCTAAACATTCGTTAGTAATAACCCAGCTCTCTTTTCCTGGCCCTTTTCTGACAAAGCTTAAATAAATACTAGCTTCTTGCAATGACCACTTGCAGGGTGCTTGTGATAAACTGACGTGTGCTCGAATGTAAATTGGCCAGGAACAGCTATCTCCTCTGGCCTCTGGGACTCGTGAGGGAGGCATTGATACTGCTGCTCCTTGGTGGACCAGCCACGTGTGCCATGGCCTTCACCATGGCCTACGAGATGCACAGGCCATCAGTGTTGGGGTCAGTGGGAAATGTGGGAAATTATAGGCCAGGAGTATGTGGAATATGAACAGGGAAATAGAAGCTGAGCAATGCCGCCGTTGAACTTGTAGAGGGTAACCTGAACACTCTTGCTACACAGGGTTTGTCGTTTACGGTGTGGCATCAATCTACAACCACTTATTTATTTTATTGGTTGACAACACCTTTTATTTTGCAAGTAAATACTTTGTCAGCAATGAGCTAAACAAATAAAAGTTCCTAGATAATGAAAAATTAGAATTTCTATTTTCTAAGAAAGTTGAGATGAATGTAAAACTTGCAATAGACGTTAGTTGACATTTACTATCCACCATGGGGCTGTTTGATATTGAATAAAAACCAGAAGACACAAATCAGCATTTACTTCAAAAGAACTCATGATTTTAAAAGGATTTTACCTAAAAATGATGATTTAACAAAGGTAGCTAGCTGCCAAACATGTTTGTTTTTTTTATCACTAAGGGAAGCATGAAGTTTCATGTAGGTATATCTAATGATGGATGTGCTAAATTAATTTCTTTTTCTAGTCTGCGTTGTGTGTGTGTGTGTGTGTGTGTGTGTTCATTCATGTATTAAAGTGAAGCTCTATTTGCAGAAACAAATCCACAAGTTTTTAAGTAATACCAAATTTATATTAATGTAATAGGTGCTTCAAATAGAAAAATCAGGTAAGTTAATTCTAATAATGGTTGAATTTTTTTCACCCAGTTCATGAAATCAAAGTGAAGCATTTTGTGGTTCATTTTGTCAAGGTAAGACAACTGACATTATTGTCACTGCTGTTGTAAATGCAGTTAAAAAGCTCATCATTGGAAATTATTTTTGTGGTGATAATATTTGTGGTGATAATAACTTCAAATATTAATGGAGTACCACATTATCTAAAAACAATATGCTCTCTAAATTAAATAACCGGTAGAGCAGAAATGTCCTGGAAATTGGTTGTAGGTGGCAAATCACTCATTAATGTGTCAGAAAAAAACTGTGACATCCTATCCTTCAAAATAAAAGTAAAATTTTCAAAAATTTTAATATACATAGAATAACTGATCTATAACTTTTTTTTGACAAGGCTGATGTTGAATAGAAGAAAATATACATCAACATGGCAGTATGTTTTCCCTTTGCTTCCTATTGTCTATTGGATTTTAGAAATGTTTGGGCCATTGAAGAATTACTTCTTACTTAATTCAAAGTGCTCCACAATGGTATCGAAACTTTTTTTTCTTTTTTTTTTGGTTACACAAGTCTTCTATATTTTTATTGCATTTTATTCCAAATCAGTTATAAATATTTTGTCAAAGTATTCAGTGAATGAAGCTCCACAACACTTAAACTTTTGAAGTTTTAGTAAGTTAATATTATTTTTAAAAAGAATTTT